TCTCCCAGCTTGTATGTTTGTCCAGGGTTGACCCCATCCTGGGTGCAGAATCAGGTTCTTGCTCTTGCTAATCTTCATGCAGCTGGTGGTTGATCACCACGCAAATTTGTGAAGACCTCTCAATGAAGAGCCTTTTCCTAACACCAACCCCTGACACTGCTCCATGCCATTCCATTGGGCCCTTACTGTCACCAGAGAACAGAGTTCAGTGCTGCTCCTCCACTCCTCTTGTGGGGGACATTCCAGAAGTCATTGAGACTTTATGTGTGCTTCCCAGTGGAGACCTAAGCCCACCTGAGTAGCATCAGGGGAAACATTAAAAACACAGTAAGTGTAGTGCATTTCAGTCAATGCTTTCCACTTTAGAGAGCAAGGAGGCCCAGGAAGCTTTGGCTATCATCACTGAGAGATGGGACTGAAAAGCATTCAAAGTACAAAGATCTGTGCTTTTAAAATGGTATAGCATTAATTTCCTTAGCCGTCAACTATGTCTCAGCAATAGTTAGAAGTTGGACATTGGAAATCTCTGTAGAAATCTCTAATAGTACCGATAGTGTCCTATCCTCCTTGCATTTCTAACATCAGATGCACCAAATCAGACTGTCAGTTCAGGATGGGCTGTCAGCAAACCTTTTCATCTGCTTTACCCTCTTTAAATTCAGGTGATAAAACTGAGCACAATCCACTTTGCTAACAAAGTCCTGCTGTGTGATTTTACAGCAGCGTTACTGAATTTATCCAAGACCAGCAAGGTTTACCTGGTCCAGCACATGGAGCCACAACAGCCAGCAATGGCCTTCCGTCCCAAAACTTGAGCAATTTAGAGGTGTAGGCAACATTTTTGTTGACTGTGAGGATGAGAATGGACTGCTGAGTGTGCACAGCCACCCATCTTTCGATGTGTGGTCGTCTCACCCCCCCCCCCCCCTTCTGCTCTATGCCACTCGTGGGAGAACTTAAAATGAAGCACAGCCCCTGCCTGCTGCTCCCATTCAGAGCCTGGGGACAGATCCCTCAGCACAGACGGCAGCAGGTGTCTGCTTTCTGCTTCCTCCCTGCCTGGCTTTCCTCCACTGAATCTGTACAAACTTCTATCTAGGAAAAAATACATATTCTTCTGTTAGCCCAAAGCTTTGCCTACGCACAGAGGAAAGAACAAACAGCACAATCTGCCATTCCAGAGAGCGAATATGCCCATGTTTACTCTTTCCTGGTCCCCGCTACCAATGACCAGAGGGTTTTCTGAAAATCTGATAGGAACTTGCACCTAAACCAACAGCAGGGTGTTGGTTGTAATGTCCAGCATTACAAGACAAGATGAAAAAGAGAAGCACCTGAGAGATGTTTTATTGGGTTGATTCTTCTTAGGCTGGGCCTTGCAACTCTCAGAGTAGTTCTTTCTTTGATAGGTATTGCTAAGGGGAGATACCTGTCCTAAATACATCCATCACAGCTTCTGACAGCATTCTATGAAGACATGATCTCTAGGAACTAATAGTACCGACTTTGATTGAAGACTATGCAGATACGTGTTGCTTTTCCAAAGTGAGCCTGCCAGTTCTGCCTTTCTACAGTCACTTCTTTGGTGGTAAATAGAAATCAGCTTCAAGCCTTTTTTCTTGATATTGCTATTCTGCTCAAACATCGTTCTTTTCCTGCTCTGTCTGCATATTAATCCTGGCTAAGCAGAGAACAGCAGACTGAGAGGGAGCACGGCAACATATGCATGGGAATTCCCTTGGAAGGAACAAGTCCCTATGTCCACTCTGAGCAGAACAGTACTTCAGAACAGTGCAGTAACCCTACTTCAGTTAAGCAAGTAACCGAAGATTTTTAGCTACAAAAATCTTTAACCAATCTGTTCTAACAGCTAAGCTACTTCACAGAACTCCCATCACTGAATGCTTTTAAGAACAGCTTACATAAATACTCAGGAATAACACAGGGCTTTATGTATGCAGTCATTTTCTGTGGGAACTTTGCCCACAGAAATTACAGTTTATGGATCAACCTCTTAGCTGTGCAAGTTGCTGTCCTACAGCTTTAACCTCAGCATCACTGCCGTGCTAACACAGCTCCCCTCCTTGCTTGCTGCCCAGTGCCCCCCTTTCCTAAAATAAAGTTGCTAAATATTAACATGAAAAATAAATATTCAGCAGATTAAACTCATCAGCCATTCCGGATTACTACACATTGCTACACAGAGTTGCTTTTACAGTCGTCCTTTAGCACCTCTCTTTGAGATGCTCCTCTTCTGCTGAAGTTTGCAAATACAGAGTACAACTTTCCAGGATTATGTCTTCTCAAGAGCAATAAACCTTTTATTGTGTCTGGCAGTCATAAATATTCAGCTTCTGGTAATCTATCCAGGCCTTTATTGCCCACTTCTCTCTGCAGTTAAAGTACAAATGACCAGGCGATGCTTTCCAGAAAAAAAAAATAACCCTAAAGACCTTGCCATATCTGTATTTTGTATTTTTCTTCTACAAACTTTTTTGCATTTTCTTTTTCATCCTTTCCAGGATTGGTCCTTCTCCCCCTTTTTTTTTTTTTTTTTTTAATTTAAATTTGCATCACCTCTCTTATTCCTTCAGTACTTTTCCTTTATGGATTATCAGTTATTTCTTATTTTTTTTTCACCTTGTTATACACTATGAAAATCTTTTATTACCAAAAGAAAACCAAACAAATCAACCCCACACCTTAGGTGAAACAAAGGCAAGCTCTTCTCATGCAAGAGTCTTAAAGAAGCAAACACCTTCTGAAGACAACCTCTTGTTGGCAAGTCAATACGTGCTTGCTAGGAACTATTTCTAAACAGCGGGAAAGTGAATGAAAAAATTGTTAATCCTCTCCTAGCAGAGCATCTGACAGGACTAAAAACAGACCAAATGCCCCACCTCCTTTAAAGCAATGGGACTAGTCACATGTTAATTGAGAATATGCATAAGCCCTGGCAAGATGTATGCTGCATGCACATCAGTGGGTGAGACATGCCTGAGGAAACTGCTGCTACATTGTGGACAGAATTAATTTGCTAGAAATTAAGCACCAGCTAGAATCTATTGAATTTACTTAACAATCTGCTAAAAATTTGAAATAAGCAATGTGACTGATGAGAAAGATAAAATCCTATCATACATATTAAGGCAGGAGTTCAGCAAGGAAACAGCAAGACAAGTGTTGGGAGAAATTTCTGATTCTAGATACATAACATCTTTGTGTTCACAAATACAAGAGTGGTATGGTGACATTCTTGCAAACACTGACCGTCTGCATAACTTCAAAAGTGAAATCTGTGAAGTGCTGAAAAGCCACTCTTATGTGCCCACCATTCACATACGAAGAATGTGTTTTACTTCTTAGTAGGAAGTGTACTGTATCAATAATTTCTGCAATTAAAGTCTGAAAAGCACCTTTTTGGCATACAGTAGGTATTAATTTAGTATAATACGTAGTCCATGCTTCTTACAATGGCAGTTGTCTTTGACATTTTGTAGTTTACAATTTTCCAAAGCCAATAACTCTAAATACTTACAACCAAGATTTTCCTTCCCCTTCGATCTTTACTTTCTCTTAATAGGATTAATAGTTCTAGGGGCAATCCAGCCTCGGGAGCTGCTTTTCTTCACTCTCAGTACTGCCTGCACTCACGCTGCCTATAAAGTAGTGGTCAGTGCTAATGAAAGCTTACAAATTACTTCTCTGCTGCTTTAACCTACCCACATCCAGTACAGCGCGTGCATTTTCTACGAAAGGCAAAAATCTCACAACACATATTTTCTTTCAAATCAATTTGTAAAAAGAAGAAAACCACAGCATCGCTGTACAACATCTTTTTATTATTATTATTTTTTTTTCCAGTGAATTCCTTTAGCCTCATAAAACAGAGCACATTTTCTAATCTTGAAGCCAGCAAGATTGGGAAATAAAAAACAAAACAGGGAATCAAACTTGGTTTTCCCATACATGATTTTCATTCCGAGACTACATTCAGGGAAAAATACTAGAATTAAAATGAAAGCATATACTACTTACACAGCTCTCTTCTTAAAAATGAACTGGATGTCGTACAGCTCACCTTCGCTAATACAATATGCTACAAATAGAATTATTCAATTCAACTATGCAGCTTTCCTATTTTCTAAGATATTTAATATGTTGCAATACCTTCGGCATTAAGTTAACACTTCATTACGATACTACTGAATGATCTTTTCCTCCTTCTTTTCTGGCAGTTCTCTTTCAGAATGGAGGCCTTCCCAGTGGCCTTTTTTTGGAAACACCAGGCACAGTTTCAGACATTACAAGTACTCAAAGCAATTCAACATCACAACCAGATTCATCTACCATTTTTTAAGTAACAGTCTTACTAGCAAACTAATGGAAAAAAGCTGGTTAGCATTTCTGCTGTTCTCACAAATGAGAAATTGATCTGGATAGCTGTAACACTTCATCTGTTGGTGAGTGGAGTTTACACTGTCATGCCCTGGCCAAGAATTACAGTAATTAGAAATCTCAGTTCTTTTACAATATTCAGCATAGACCAAGCTTTAGCTCTTTTTAAACTACTTATACTTTCAGAAGGTATCTGCATTTGTATGACTGCATCATCTCATTTTCAATCGGGTTCTTTATTCAAATGTACCATTTCCCTTGCTAAACATGGCTTTAAAAATATACAGCATATTTAACATTTTCGTATTACAAATGTTGAAAAGTTGATTTACCCAATGTTTTTCAGACTCAGTACATTATTGAGAGAAGTAAACAGTACTACTTTTGGAAAAGTATTCAAGTATCTCCCTGACATTTTATATAATGAAAAACAGATCCTAAACTTTGTATGACTGTACTTAAGTAATTATCACTCACAAAATCTTTTTGGTTTTCTGTCATACGCAACGGTATGAATAATACTTGTAGCAACAATATAGCACAACTTCTGATATTACAGGAAATTGGAATGTTTCAGCAGAAAAGAAAACAAATCAGCCATATAAAAGAAACTTCAAGTGCTTCAGAAATAAACTGACCGATCACCATGGCTTACACAGAGCAAATATACACGAAACCAGTAGAAGCTGAATGACAGAAATACCAATAAATATACATGAATAGAGAATAATTAGCTGTTCAAACACACACACAAAAAATCTGAGATGCAGTAAGCATTAACAAATGGAGGTTAAGTTCTGATCCTTACCAAACAGGAAGTAACCTGCTTGACAAGAGGAAAATTTTGCCCCAAGACTACACACTGGATGTGTGTGAGCCACAATACATAAATTCAAGTATAACTTAAATAATCGCTCCATAATCGTACTTGATAGTCTAAGGTACTTGCTGTAAAAATAAGCACAGTGATTTGTGATTTATCAGATGCCAGTTTCTTCCTTTGACTTCACATCACACATTACTCTGCTTCCTATTTAGTTAAATAAAACATTGTTTAAAAGACATTCAATCATCAAATAATATTTTCAAACTTAATATTCCAACATCTTACTTTGCAAAGACATTTTAACATATCTCATAGAATCTGCAAAGAATCCTGTACTGAAGAGGAAAGCTTTTCATATGTTAATTTTAACCATTTTTAGAAATGTAAAATTTGCTGGTGTTTTATAAGGTATTTTTATTTTCCCCTGCCTATGCTTTCCTGGTATCACACATCCCTGTGAGTTGCTTGCAAGACATTTCAATGCAGTACACAGTATTTGGTATAATCCAAACAGTCGTTAGATGCTTTATAATCCCAAACAGCAGCATGCAAGGAAGCACTTATAAATAGAATATATAGAAGTTATGATCTGTCTACAGATGTGCTTTTGTTTTTAAAAATATTTCTAGACTGTTATTGTTATTACTTAAAGCCAGGAATGTGTATCTGAATTGCATTGATAAGTTGCAAGGTATTGTCAGAACTACAAAGGAAAGATTAAAAAAAAATATGCCAAGGACAACACTGTTGTCCAGCACTTAAGCCACACGCAATACTTCACACTCCCAGCAGAACACATTCTCTCAGATACTGAAAATATCTTGTCTTTGTATCTTGGTTTGATGGCAATATAAAGTTCAATGTTTTATAACAATTACATATTATTGCAACACAACTGCTAAATCAGCTCTCTAGAAAAGCACAGTATTTTTCAGTTGTTGTGAATACATACACATACGCCAATTCTCTCTTCTCTAACATAACTTAGATGACATTACTCCAAGACATATTTTAATGACTACAATGTAAAAAAAAATAGTGAAATAAAAATCTAAAATTATACTGAAACTATCACAAAAAAAATTCTAAGACTTTAAAATACTTGTCAATTTGACTAAAATGCACATATACTCAATTTCCTTGAGCATTTATTTTTTTCTTCTCCTCATCGGAGGAACAGTACTTATAGTAATTGTTCAATGCTACTGTGGCTGTAGGCAGCTTCATCTTTACTGTTTTCCTCAATTCCCCTTGCAAACAGTTTCATTAACTGGCAGTGAACCCTGAAAAAGATGGAAGTCAATTAATCATACTTTAAAAACAAAAAAAAAGGAAGAAATGATAATGTATATTTAGTTCTAACGATCTGTGAATCTTGGGCACTTGAGCGAAAGTTCCTAACTTCAGACTACAAAAACAGCCTTCATTTCCCTGCAGAGAAGGCTGGTTGCTTTCACCCTTCCATCATTCCTGCTAGTGATTTATTCCACACATTAAGTTCCATGGGACAAGAGAAGCTGACCTTATACAATATACACTGTATACACCAAAGAAACTTAAATATAAATATTTCGTTTTGTATTTTTGCTTCTCTTTGATCTGAAACAGAAAAACACACAAACCATACAAAAAAAGCACTTCAAAACAAGATACTCTTGTCTTCTAATTTGATTATCTGCAGAACTACAAACTGCTTTCTCCATCTGCTAAGGCTTAAGACAATACTGGGCTTATCAGACATAAAAAAACATACAGGAATACTGAGCATGTGCCATATTTTGTAATACCAAGATGTTAGGTGAGAACTAAACAGGACTTCGGGGGTTGGGTTCTCTCTCCTTCTCTCAAAGAGATCATTTATGAGAGATGGTTGAACTATTTACTGGAAAGGACCAGAACAGCAAAACCAAAGACAAATTGAGTTTATTATCAAAACACTCAAATATGATATGTGGGATGTGTCTTGAAAATATCTTTAGGAGCACAATTAAATCAATGAAAAGGCTCAATACCTTTTATGGTACACACAGGGAAAAATTGATGCTCACCTCACTTCAATTGCTGAACTATCCAGAGTTTCTCCATCACAGTTCCAAGTGCTATTAGCAATATTGCAGCAGCAGGCTGGATGATCTCTGCAAAATTGGCCAAAACGTTTCTTTCCTATGTCTGTGACACTGCTTTCATTGTCTTCTGAAAGCTTTGATGTAAATTGAAAACTCTTCACCCGATAAACATCTACAAATGAGAAGTCAAACTACAAAGAAAAAATAACCAGAAAAGGCAATTACCATTATTTAAATATACTTGATGCGTAAAGCAACTCAGCATGTAGTATTCTGCATTCAAGGAAGTCTGTCATTTCCAATTTTTTTAGAGAAGATTACCTGAGGCATTGAATGACTTATCTTTTCTGATTTGTGCAGCTTTTTAAAACGAAAAGCAAAACTGGAATCTTACTTTCCAATGGTGTTCTTCAAGTAGCAGCAAACAGCCACTTTTTGGATAATGAGGTAAAAGGTTCTGAGATTAGAAGGGGATATTAGAACTATAAAAAAAACCCTATAAAAATAGATTATAACGTGGAATCTAAGTCAAAAAGGTTTGGCTTGGATCCCTGTACCATCCTTAAGAATTGTTCAACTACAACTCTAAAGATGAGCTTTTCTGAGCCTTATCATAGAATAATGAGGATAATCACAGAATAAGCAACATTGGAAAAGACATCCAAGATTATCTAGCCCAACCATGTACCTACCACCAATATTTCCCTCATTAAACCATGTCCCTCAGTGCCACATCTCCATGATTCTTGTACATCTCCACAGATGGTGACTCCATCACCTCCCTGTTCCAATACCTCACCACTATTCCTGAGAAGAAATTTTTCCTAATAGCCAACCTGAACCTCCCATGGATCAACTTAAGGCCATTCCTTCTAGCTGCACCAGAGCTGACCCCCAGCTCACCATAACCTCCTTTCAGTCAGCTGTAGAGAGCAATAAGGTCTCCTGTGAGCCTCCTCTTCTCCAGATTGAACAATTCCAATATCCATAGCCACTCCCCAGAAGGCTTGTGCTCCAGACCCCTCACAGATACATTACTGTTCTCTGGACACAATCCAGGCCCTCAATGTCTTCCTTGTAGTGAGGGACCCAAAACTGAAAACAGTACTCAAGCAGCAGCCGCACTAGAGTTGAGTACAGGAAGTTGATCACCTCCCTGCTCCTGCTGGCAGCACTATTTCTGATACAAGCCAGGATGCCATTGGCCTTCTTGGTCACCTGGGCACACTGCTGGCTCATGTTAAGCCAAGTGTCAACAAACACTCTTGGGTCTCTCTCTTCCACACAGTCTTCCAGCCACTCTGCCTCTAGCAAGCCTGTAGCACTGCCTGGGGTTGTTGTGGCCAAAGTACGAGACCCAGCACTTGGTCTTGTAGAAATTCACTGGGCCTTACCTCAGTGATTCAGAATGCAGCTGAGAAACGCAAAGCACTGCCTTGATCAAAGAATTCCAGATTACATTACAGAAGTGGGTGTAGAAGAAAACAAGAGTAAAGAGAGATATTAAACACCAACAAAATAAAATAATTTCAGATAGAAATAAGTAGGATCAGTTTGAGACCAGTTCTATTTGATTTTTTTTAATATATATAAATAATCTGATTTCAAGATTCAAATGCATACTAAGTTAGGAAGAACTTCTACTCTTTCAAGGATAGAGAAGTACTGCACTGAGGTCTTGACAGATTAGAGGGTTGATCAATCACCAACTATATGAAGTTTAACAGGAGCAAGTGCCAAGTTCTGCACCCAGGACAGGGTTAATCCTGAATATATGTACAGACTGGGAGCTGAGAAGAAGGAGAGCAGTCCCACAGAAAAGAATGCCGGGTTCTGGTTGATGGCAAGTTGAATCTGAGTCAGCAGTGTGCCTTGGCAGCCAAAAGAGTTTAAATATCATCCAAATATTAAATATATGGAAAATGTTATAAGACAGAATTCAATTAGCATAAGTGGAATTTGGTTAGAATGCTACAGCCCAAGACTTGGTTTAGCTAAAGTGATTTTTCTGATGGTACACATATTCAGATAGTCATACAAAATGCATAAGCTTTTTTTTTTTTTAATACATTTTCTATGTATTCTTTTTTGTCATATATAAATATAACCATTCACACCTTAAAACTTATTCTGGAGAGTTCACTGCCAAAGGAAATACATACCTGGTCATGTTGGTTTGTATGTCTGACAAGATAACGCAGAAAATCAAATCTGGAGCATTTACGAACTAGAATGAGGTCAGCTGAACCATCTGCTAAATGAGCTGCAGGTGAAAGACCTTTTGGACTTCGTGGACAGGCACAGCTCATGTTTACTACATTGATGGCTAGAAATTTTCCTTTAATAACCTTCCATTCTTCTTCATCTTCTGAAACATATCAATAAACACATGGATATCGGATATTACTTGATCTACACATAAGAACAGTAAGAAGCAATCTTTATTGGCATTGTACAATATTTTACTAGGCACGTTTATGCACTGTCAATACATATGTAAACAAAAAAAAGACTCCTAGATCTCATATATTAACAGAAGTTGCTTCCTCCCTGCACACACCATCATTATAGTGCTGCTAGTGCTGCTTACCATTTCTGAGATAACATATCAAATTCAGGATCAATGTTCTGGAGGTAAAATCACTAAGTTTCAGACAAGGAAAAGACACAGGCAGCTTATAACTCTTGCAGGTTAAAAAATTCAGGGGTTAAAAAATTTTATTCTTACTGTTCAACATGTTATTCTTAAGCAAGCAATGATACAGAGACAGTGGCTTAGTGTCTGCTTTCCAACCCACTCCTCTGTCAGCCTCAATGCCACAAACTATATTGAAAAACAAACAAAACCAAACTAAAACAAAAAAAAAAAAGATCAAAAGAGAGAAGATGACTCTGGAGGCAGGAAGGGCCAGCATGCAGCAGATCAGCAGCCTGTTAGGAACTCCTAAAAAACACGTCTGCAGATGAACAGCAGTAACAAAGATACTGCAAAAATATTCAGGGACTGCTGGGAAGAAAAAGAGTTTTCAGTAATATAAAACTGTTCTATTAGACCTAAACTGACTTTAAATGTGTGATGAAGTAGATACTAACAGGAAGCAGAGGAAATTTCTGGAATGAAAATTGTTTATACTGGCACCGCTTCTTGTATGAGGATAAAAATAGATCAGAAAAGCCTTTGCATTTTTACATTAAACATGATTGCCTTCCTTACTACAATAATAAAAAAAAAAGCCATAAAGCAGCTATACCATTATGCTTCATCTCCAAATATAAGTGGGCTCAGATATATCAAATGAAAAACTCCACAGAACTAATGATCTAGAATAGTCTGTGGAGATGCACAGTTTGAAAACTGTAGTCCAAGTGCCACTGTAGATGATGGGGGTAAAAATTAAGGAACAAACAAACAAGATAAACTTTGTTTATGAAAGTCTGTTTAACCAATTTGATCATCAAACCACAGCCAGGCAGTTTTTGAGCCACATTAAATAATTAATAGCAACTTAGAAATCTAATATTATTCAGTTGCTCATGTTGGGGTTAATTTATAATTAATTATTCAAGGTGGTTCATTATTGAGACGATGGATGATTTGTATATAGACATTTCATGTCCTACAATTTCCATTATTCTTTACTACCTTAGTTCTTAAATCTCAGCATCTCATCTGTTACATTTACTTTACAGAGTCATTACCACCACTGCCTAGGTAAATGGTGGACCTAAATTCTACAACACACTTATTTTGAATTGACCTCTTCAAAGCTTTATACACCAGAAGGAAAAAAATTAATGTAGATGGAGAAGTTGAAAGAAAAAAGATGAGCTTCTTGAACTTTTCTTTTTAATTATTTTAAAAAATTCTTTGAAACTTCTTGCCATTCCCCCTTTTTTAGTACTTAGAAAAATTCAACACCAGGAAAACCAGAGTAGGATTGTGATATGACAATATGAGAAGTCTCAAAGCAAACTAAAAACAACTTTGTATTTTTTCCATTTAGACTGTCCTCCATATGTTCTGATAAACAAATCAGTAATAAAAGAAATGCAGCTCTGTTAGATTCAACATTTTTGCATCATTTGCCAGAGTGGTTTTAGTATCAGTTGTGTTTGCTTTACTGCTGATCATTTTTTACGTGCTTTCAAAAAGGACATTACAGAGAGAAATCATTTAAATTAGCTTTAAAATGTGTATTTTAAGAGAAAAGAAAGACATAAACTACAGAATGACTTTGTTCAGGCTGCAGGCAAATGATGAGACTGTTCTGAAACTAAGGCAGCCAAACAGAACGTAAGAAACTACTGGAAACATGAGGTATTGTGCGACCCAACAGTTCTCAGTGTGCAAAAGTGAGAAAAGTTACAGACTGTATCACGTAGAATGTCTGAATTTCACAGGTGGTAAAGGGAGTTACTGGAAGGACTGTAGAGAGAACTGAGGGAGACCACCTTTAGGGGAGATGAACCTTGAAAATCCAACAGCATCTACTTAATCAGATGACCTATGCAATACTGGTACAATCAGCAATATCAACCCGGGGCACTGATGTAGCAAAACTGGAAACAGTGAAATTCAGCTAGAAACAGCTGTTTATTTGGGAGAAGAAAAGGCTGGAGAAAGGGAAGAAGTGGATTAAGGAAGGACAAGCATGGAGAGATAGCAGGGCGTCACCTGAGCATGAGCACGAACTGAGCAGAAACCTCCCTGATGTGCATGTCACCTGCTGAAAACTTCAAGTCACACTAACCAGAACTTAATTTGTAAAAACTCCCAGTCAGAGCTGGAAGCTAGCTAACAGTGCTTGGGGTCTGGATTCTGGATGTGCCAGAGTGTGAAGG